CTTAATATATATTATATTAAAATACTTTATATATGGTATTGAATTATATATAGTGTTTTTTATATATACATAACTCCTGTTATTCAGATTTTATATCTCCTGAGCTGAATGCTGATTTTCTAATTTTCTTATATTGCCCTTCTATTTTCCATCTCTTTATCTTTTTGTGATAAAGATACTTTCTGAGAGATATTTCCTCATCATTAATTTTTAACCCTACATTTTTAAAAGCTTTTCAGTCATTTTTATATTTCTTAAAGCGCAATCATGAAAATACCAAATGCCAGCACGTAGTACAACGCCTGACATGTGGGAATAAGTGCTTAGTGCACAATTTTTGAAAAAACAAATGGACTTCAATCCCCAACCTGCCATTCTAACTTTAGAGATCAAAACAGCTGACAACAGGCCTCATTAATTTTCTATTGCCTTTTTGTGCTTAGAAATAATTACTACTAGTTCAGTTTTAAAAGTACTTTTTTTTTTTTTTTTTGAGATGGAGCCTTGCTGTGTCACCCAGGCTGGAGTACAGTGGCGCGATCTCAGCTCACTGCAACCTCCGCCTCCGGGGTTCAAGCGATTCTGCCTCAGACTCCCAAGTAGCTGGGACTATAGGTGCATGACACCACACCTGGCTAATTTTTGTATTTTCAGTAGAGACGGGGTTTCACCATATTGGCCAGGCAGGTCTCAAACTCCTGACCTCGTGATCCGCCCACCTCGGCCTCACAAAGTGCTTGGATTACAGGCGTGAGCCACTGCGCCTGGCCTAAAAGTACTTTTAGCTAATATAACATGCTTTTCTATGTTGTTTACATAGACTAATTTTTCCTAAGAAGACAATAAATTACTCACATAGCCTTATGTATGTGCTAAAACTGAACAGAAAACTGATACCTATTCTGCTCTAAATGGTGAAATAGCAAGTGAAAAAATAATGTAGCAAGAACTACGTGCTCATTGCATGTACTAAATTATTTAATACACGTGACACACTATAAATTAGTGGCTGCTATCATCCCCATTTTATAGAAAAGGAAATTAACTGGAGGCAATGGCATGCACCTGTGATCCCAGCTACTCAGGAGACTAAGGCAGGAGGATTACTCGAGCCCAGGAGTTTGAGACCAGCCAGGCTAACATAGCAAGACCCAGTCTCAAGGCGGGGATAAGGGGTTGAGGAAGGAAGTTAAAACACAGAGAAGCTGGATTTAATATTTTGCAATTTTTTTACTTCTATCAATTTTTTAATCATGATTTTTATTTTCAAGAGATCTTTTATCCTCTCCATATGCTTTTTTTTTTTTTTTTAAAGAGACAGGGTCTCACTATGTTGCCAGGCTGGACTCACAATCCTGGCTCAAGCAATCCTCCCAAGTAGCCAGGACTACAAGTGCATAACACTGAACCTGGCTTGCTTACCTATGGCTTTTAAAAAACATCTCATTTTTTCTTCATGAATGCAATAGCTTCTTTTATCTCTCTGAGACCATAACTTGTAGGTCTTAACTTTTCTGATTCCTCTATTGTCTCAGTTTCCTCCAAATTCTTTTCTGTTTGTTTTATCTCTATTTCTTCATGCTGGAAACTTTCCTCAAATGTCTGATTCTTACCTATTCATTTATATCTAAGAGTGAGGCACTAAAACCTAAAAACAAAACCTTTGTGGAGAAGTGCAATGTACTGAATTATAGACTTATTGCAGAATGATTCGGTAGGGCCCAAGCTATTCCCTAGGGAAAACCTCCCCAGAAATGTGTCAGCATCTCTAAATCTTTTTTCTAGGCATGGCCATTTTCCCCAGGAGAAATTCTCCTTCCAGTTTCATACTTTGGTGGATATTATAGATGCCAGCATTCTAAGAGCCACGGTAAGGAAGGAGGCTTTATAGTCTTACTTTGAGATATATCAATTTCCACTTATTTCCCCTACTTTCTGCAGAGCTTCCTGCCTTTCACCTATGCCTGAGTTTGAGTTTCTCAATTCAATACCTTTCCATTTTCTGCTGGGCTGAGTTACTTGTCTGCCTATGGTATGGAAAGGGATATAAGGGTCTAACTGCTTCATTCACAGATATTCAATCCATCCTTCTGTTTTCAGCCTCACTTCTCACCCCTACCTTCAGAGATGACTAATACTACCTATTCCTGAGATTTTCCAGGGTTTGAAGGCAGGGTTTTTCTTTTTTGGCTCCCCTCTCTGCAGGCAGTATTGTTTCTGCTTTCTCTGGTCTGCTAGATCAGTTAGCAATTGCAAACTGATTTGGGGGCTTCCAAAATTTAATTGGCATCTCTCAACTGTTCTTCTACCTCCTCCTGTTGTCTCCCTTCATTCTTTCTCTTAGATTTGTGCCTTTTAAAATCCCTTTAGTGTCATCTAGGTGAAAATTCAGGAAGGAGCAAAAGGAAATGTGAGTCTCCAGTCTTTCATGTTTAGCAAGAAACCTGTGCTTTTAACTTCTCCGTTATGCTGCCTCTAGGTATAGCTTGCATGGCTATTCCCCACATAGATTATGATTTTCTTGAAGGCAGAGACTTGAAAATAAAAAAAAATTCCGACGCTCTTGGGAAAAGATTAAATGTGCTGTAGTTATGGCAGCAAGTAACCACCAGAACTAGTTCCAAACTGGTTTAATGGGCTGAGCATGGCGGCTCGCACCTGTAATCCCAGCATTTTGAGAGACTGAAGTAGTAGGTTCACTTGAGCCCAGGGGTTCACGGATGCAGTGAGCTATAATTGTACACTGTACTCTAGCCTGGGCAACAGAGTAAGAGCCTGTCTCAAAAAATAAACCAGAAAGGAATAAAATAAAATAATCTGGTCTACTGGATTGATGGCAACTTACCTAACTGAACACAGTTCTGAAATCTAGCCAGAAACAACCCTGTGCTTTTGAAAGCCAGCCAGTCCACAACGATCTCATCTAAACAACTGAGTTTCCCTAGCTGGCAACAACCAACCCACCCCACCTCTGAAAGTCTACCAATCCCTCAATTTCATGCTCCCCAAACTTCTATAGACAATCAGCTCCTTGCTTTACTGGAGGAGACTGTACTTCAGGCAGCATTAGATTCAGCTTTTTGTTTCAGATATTGAGTAGTAGTCTTTTTCTTTGTCAGATCTCAGCAACCACCACAGTATCTGTTGCTTGGAAGGTACTCAATGGGAAGATGGGAGAAGGTGCAGAGGGCAACTCTAAATGTATCCTAAGTGAAGGGGCCGGGGCTGTTTGCCCTACGCAGCCCTGTGGCAAGGCTAAACCAGGTACAAATTTTGCTCAACGTTCACTCTTCAATTCCAATTCATAAGCATCTTAGGTATAAGAAATGTAAACATCTGCATCCAGAAGCAAGTATGTTTGCCTGCCACCTTTCCTTCAGTATTGTTAACTGTATATAATTGTGAAAGGAAAATTTCTTGGAGCCCCAAAATCACTAAGCTAAAAGGAAAATTCAAGCTGGGAATCACTTAGGGCAAACTTGCCTCCCATTCTATTCAAAGTCATCCCTCTGCTCACTGAGTAAATGTGTATCTGATTGAGTCCTTTGGAGAGGCTAATCAAAAACTCAGAAGAATGCAACCACTTGTCTCTCACCTACCTGTGACCTGGGAACCCCCTCCCTGCTTCAAGATGCCCTGCTTTTACTTTGAGTTGTGCTGCCTTTCCAGACTGAACTAATGTTCATCTTACCTATGCTGATTGAGGTCTCATATCTCCCTAAAATGTATAAAACCAAGTTGTGCTCTGGCCACCTTGGGCACATGTCATCAGGAACTCCTGAGGCTGTGTCATGGGCATGCATCTTCAACCTTGGCAAAATAAACTTTCTAAATTAACTGAGACCTGTCTCAAATTTTGGGGGTTCACATTTGGTAACCACGGAGGGATTCTGAGTGGAGATGCCCCTGACCTTTAACAAATCTCCTCCTGGTGCTTGGTACCAGCATGAGCTAACTTTATGGCTCAAACCAACAGGACAATTTGCTGAGGTGTGAGAGCATCCCCTCCAGAGAATCCCTGATCTCCCCAAATGTGGCCCAAGATCTAAAGTTTATTTTTCCTTACAAATCCCCCCCTCTGCTTTTTTTTTGGAGTTCTACTTGCTCCCAACAAGGAAGGCAAGTTTTCCTGCTTCCATGACGATCCAAGGCAGGTAACTTCTTTGTGGAGTTTGAGCTCACTTCTAACAGGGAAAATGAGGTCTTTCTCCTGCTTCTGGGATGGTAGAGAGCAGTCTACAGCCTGAGACCTATCCCTAGGTAAGTAACTGATTTGGGGTTGGTCTTGGCTAAAGTTAAGACTAACAACCAGCTAGTCTTAGTTTCTTCTTACCATTAGAGTGCTCAGTAATCATATAAGTGGCATGATCGTACAATGGCAACTGGTTGAAAGAGTTATTATCAGTAGAAAGGTATCTGGGTTACAATAAGGGATTGTGGAGACCAAGGTTTTATCATGCTACTTGAAATCTTTGCCTGCATGATAAAACTTGTACATTTTAGGGAGATATAAGGCATCAATCAATACATGTATGTATGCCAAGTAGCAGGCTTTAGAAAGAATAGACTTTAAATTTTTCTTCTTAGAATTATGGTCTGTGTTGATGTTAATGCTGGAGGGGTATAATGAGGCATGCCAACCTCCACTTCCCATCTTGGCCTGAACCAGTTTTTCAGGTTAAATTTTAGAGTGCCCTGGGAGAGGAGGGTATCCATTCAGATGGTTGCCAGGGCCTTCAAATTTTATTTTCGGTTTACAACTCTATATGGTCAACTGTTTTCTTTATCCCAGTTCAAAGAAGGGAAGGAGAATCTCCCATCAACAGATATCACATTTACAGTAGCAAAAGCAGTTCTAACAGATATAGCAAAAAATATCCTATATGGAACATAATATATTATTGGGTTAAATATTCTCCAGACAACACTTAACCACTAGGATAAGATGTGTACTTTAGAACTTAACTCTTTTCTGAGAAGCTGAATTCATTTGTCTCCAGGACACCTAACATGATGCAGCAGAAATTTCTTCTAGGAATCTAAAGGGACCATATGGAGCAAGTTATATTCAAGAAAAACAGGACTATGAGGCTTAGAGTACCAGAGAGGAGGCAACAACAATTACAAGTACAAAAAGTCCATTTGGCAAAAGAAATCTGAAGAGCACAGTGTCCTGCACCGGGCTCCGTTACAGCCTGGAGTAAGGTGAAGATGTGGGGGAAATCAGACAGCAGGGAGAATGGGGCCACTGCAGCCCCTCTGACTTTCTTTTCCTGGACTTTCTCAACATCCTTTCCTGCTCTGCTGTTGTTGCAGCTGCAGGTCCTCACTCCAGGTTGGCAGCCAGGGGCTCAGATGGAGCCGGCCCCACACCTCTGCACGTTCCCAACCTGAAAACCACTCCAGGCTCCCAGCCTTGCCTATCGGTTCCCTGAGGGTCTTGGACGCTACCCCAGCACAGGGATGTACCTTCTGCCTGGGCGCCACCAGAGGCAAGCTCCAAGGATGTAGTTTGGCACCTTCTTACAATTAATTGGCTTTGGACGACTTGGTAATTTAGAAACTGCTGAGGTGAACCTCCAATAGAGGAAGTCTAGCACGGTTCTATGCCTGACTGTGCCCCTGATTATGCCTCAAAATGCCTCTTAAGGCCCTGATGATGGGTGCTGGTTTCCCTACAAAGGCGAACATGCTTCTCAGAAGATGCTCCTCCTGCCTTCTGCATCAATGAGGGAAGTTTGGAGGACAAAGTACAGGTTACTTTTGGAACAATAGGTTCCTGTCTCCCTCTGTCCTTTTGACATATTTTCAGATGTAGAAGGGAAAGACCTAACACACTATCCAAACCCATGGGATCTATCATCACCTATAGGGTGTGACTTGTCACTGTAGCTGAGCCACCTGGCCTTAGCTGCATGTGTCCCAAACAACCACTTGAAAGCTACCGGTTAGAAAGAAATGTGCTTGATACTAGATGCAGCCTGTTAAATATGTTATATGAATTCTAAAAATTAAATACATAAATCTTATTTTTGGTAAATATTGTCAGTCTCTAAAAGACAGTATATATTTTAAATCTTACTATAATTATAAATTTGTCTATTTCTCCTTATAGTTCCACCTGTATTTGATTTATGTATATTGAAAATCTGTGGTTGGTTCCATGTAAGATCTTAACTGTTATGTCTTTTTGGATAAATATTTCTTTTACCATTACAAAATGTTTTTCTTTATCTCTTTTAGTCTTTTTCATCTGTAGTACTACATCTGTTATTATTACATCCGTATTACTACATCTGTTATTATCACATCTGTTATTACTTGCTTGATATTTGTTTTTTAAAATATATCTTTTATCTCACCTTTGGGCATCATTAGAAAATGGCTTAATATTTTCCGTTTTAGACCTATTGTTAATCCTTTATAATGAACTATGAGGAAGAAAAAAAAATTTTTTTTTTTGAAACGGAGTCTCGTTCTATTGCCTAGGCTGGAGGGCAGTGGCGCGATTTCCACTCACTGCAAGCTCCGCCACCTCCGAGGTTCACGTCATTCTCCTGCCTCAGCCTCCCAAGAAGCTGGGACTACAGGCGCCTGCCACCACGCCTGGTTAATTTTTTTGTATTTTTAGTAGAGACGGGGTTTCACCATGTTTGCCAGGATGGTCTCTGTCTCCTGACCTCGTGATCCGCCCGCCTCAGCCTCCCAAAGTGCTGGGATTACAAGCGTGAGCCATCGTGCCCGGCCGAGGAAGAAAATTTTAAGGCACCAAAATGTTGGGGTACCAAGAGAAAGAACCACTCAGAGTATTTGTTCTTCCCTTTATTTTCAATTATCTTAACCAATGCTAGAGGTTCCTCAAAATGTTAAAAATGGAACTATCTTATGACCCAACATTTCTACTCCTAGGTATGTACCCCAAGAGAAATGAAAACATGCATCCACACAGACACTTGTACACAAATGTTTATAAGAGCATTACTCATGATAGCCTAAAGTTAGAAACAAAAAATGTCCATCAACAAATGCATGGATAAACAAACCATGGTATATACATACAGTGGAATATAATTTAGCCACTAAAAAGAATGAAGTACTGATACATCCTACGACTTGGATGAACCTCAAAAACATTGCACTAAGTGAAAGAAGCCAGACACAAAAGGTCACATATTGAATGATTCCTTTTGTATGACGTATCCAGAATAGGCAAATCCTATAATAAAAACAAAAAGCAGATTAGTGATAAACTGGGAATGAGGGGAGGGGACAATGGAGAGTGAGTATTTAATGGTACGGATGTTTTAGGGGGTGATAAAAAGTTATGTAACTCCAAAGAAGTAGTTGTACAACATTGCAGATATACTAAGTACCACTAAATTGTATACTTTAAAGTAGCTAACTGCATGTTATATTAATTTCACCTCAATAAGAAACAAAACCACCCTCTGCTAGTAAGATGGATTAATTTTCGCAAACTGGTAAGCAGTTCTGATCTTCTTATGTTTTTTTGTTTGTTTGTTTGTCTGTTTGTTTGTTTGTTTGTTTTTGGTATTGAGATGGAGTCTCACTCTGTTGCCCAGGCTGGAGTACAGTGGCATGATCTCGGCTCACTGCAACCTCCACCTCATAGATTCAAGCAATTCTCCCACCTCAGTCTCCTGAGTAGCTGGGATTACAGGCGCACTCCACCATACCTGGCTAATTTTTTTTATTTTTAGTAGAGACGGGGTTTTGCCATATTGGCCAGGCTGGTCTCGAACTCCTGACCTCAGGTGATCCACCTGCCTCAGCCTCCCAAAGTGCTGGGATTACAGGCATGAGCCACCACACACAGCCAGATCTTATTACCTTGGCAGTGAAAGAGGATCTTTTCCTGCAATTTACAGCCAAACCTGTGGGTATAACCAAGGGGTTATAGAAATACCTGTTATACCTGTGGGTATAACAGCAACATTAAATAACAGTAATAATAATTCCTGGATAGAGACAGAGTTCACTTAGATATTTGGCAAAATTTGCCATGTTCTTATCTCATCTCATGATATACATGATTTATTTCTAGAAGGAACTACGGGTCTTATTGGCTGTGATATATCGTAGCTTGTTTTTCCAGGCTCAGTTGATCTTAATTTTTCCCAAATGACTTTAGACATATAGTCACTGCTCTTCTATCCCAAGCACTGCTCCTGCCTGTCACAGACACCTCCAAATAAACACTACCTGGACTTTTGAGGGGTGGAAGTTGGAGATACTTGCAAGGGCTTCTTGGTATATTAGTTCACTTTTGCTGCATCCTGAACTACCCTAAAACTCAGAGGCTTAAAATAACAATGTTCTTCAACTCACAATTCTGCAGGTCAGCAATTTGGCCTAGGCTCAACCTGGCAGTTTTTCTATGGTCTTATTCCTGCATTTGCAGTCAGCTGCAAGATATGCGGTCAGTTGGCAGTTGGCTGATCCACTGGGCAGGCAGGGGTTGGAGGAATCCTAAGTAGCCTCACTTGGATGTCTGGCAGGTGGCCAGCTGTCAGCTGGGGCACTTGGTCCTTCTCCATGTGGTTTCATCTTCCACCAGGCTAGCCCAAGCTTGTTCACTTGGCGGTAGTGTCCAGAACTCACACAGTGTCACTTCTAACACATTCTTTCAGTCAAAGAGAGCCACAAGGCCAACCCAGATTCAAAGGTGTGGGAACACATCTCCCAACACTCTTGTTTGGAGATGTATTATGAGCATTTTTGCAATCTACTACAACTGAACTCTATTCCTGCTATAGTAACCCGCTACTTCCCACACAAGTTGCTCCTGGATGCCATCCTGGCTTTGACAGCCTCCAGGCATGAGGCCCACTTGGTCACTGATTCTTTGTGATCATGCTCTTCTTTTCCTCAGCTGGTTTGGGTTACCAGTTTCTTCTTTCCTCTGATTCTACATGGATTTAGTCTCAAAAAATCCCCATAGTTTCTTATCTATTGATAATTTACTGATTTTTTTTAGCATGGCTGTGTATTCACGTAGAGCTAGTGTAACCATACGATTTATCATTCAAATTGTGACTTCTAAGAATGAAATGGGACACTATAAATAATCATGCTAGGACACCAAGCATAAACTGAGATGCCTCTGCTTAAAGCCCCGTGGTTATAAGCACAGGCTCTTTTGCTGGGGTTGGAATCTCAGCTCTGCCAATTATTTGCCAGTTACTTAAGCTCTTGGTGACAGTTTTCTCATCTATTAAATGTAGACAATAATAGTGTTCACTTTAGAGGTTTTTTATGAGGTTTAAATGAGAAAACATATAAAATATTCATTATTTCTAAGCTCTCAAGTGGATGTGGGAATTACCTTCTCATTTAATATTCAATCATATTCATGTATCATAAGATAAAGTTATTTCATAATCTTTGTATAATCAGTTTTAATGACTATATACAGTTTCATTAAATGTTCCATAATTTACCTGAAAACTTTTCTATTAAATATTTTGATCATTTATACTTTTCCCTTATTATAAATTATGTTAAAATTTCATTGTGGATAAATACTTTGGCAATAAATTATTTTCTTACATAGTTCTAGAAAAAAGAATATTATATTAAAGAATATAAGTATTTTAAGGATCTTGTTATATGTTGCCAAATTGCTTTCTCAAAGGATTACATTAACTCTTTCGAACAATAATCAGGAAGTTCTAACTTTAATACAACCTCATCAGCATTGAGTATCACACAACTTAATCTGCTATGCTCATTTAAAACACAATTTTAACAAACTTATTTTCTGGTTTCCCAGCCCTCCCAAATAAAAAGCAAAATATTCAAAGCAGTAAAAACTAACATTGGAAAAGGTATTTAGGCAGATTTTCTGATCACTTGGTGGTGAAAAGAAAAACAGAAATAAATATAAGAATTAAAATCCTAGACATCTTAGATCATTTAATGGCTAAACACATCTTCAGTCTTTAAAGTCCATGACGTCATTATTTGTTGCAGCATATAGCAGTTAATGTTCATTGTAATAATACTAAATGATCCATCAAGAAAAATACACATGACAGTAAACAAATTTTTAACAGAGCAGGAGCATCGTCATCTTGGACAAGCCCCTCATTCTAGAGTTCCCCTTAATAAAAAACTGCCTAAATCCAAAGGGCATCAGCCTAAGGGCTAAGGTAAGCATAAACCACAATAACCACAAATAACATCTCCAACCAGAAACATTCCAAACTCCTCCCTGACCAGAGACACGCTAGCCCCGAGATAACTCCCCTCTGGCCAGGAAGATGCCAGCCTTAAGATAACCCCACTCCAGCCAGAAAGATGTCTGCCCCAGGATAAATTCCCCTCCTCCTCCCAGAGACATTCCAACTCTGCCATAAAACTTGTCCCTCACACAGAAACATTCCAAGCTTGTAATAAGCCTCCTCACCCTAAAACCAATATATACTCTTAGTCTGTAAGAGAAAGTGCTCCTAACAAATGTCTTCCAGAAGCCCCTCTCAGGTGTTATCTGAAGTAAACCTGTCTTTACTGTCAAACCACATTTCGTGTCTCTTTCCTGTTTCTTTAACTCTTACAATTTTGTTTTAGGGAGATTTCCATTAACAAGAAAAAATAAAATTTATGCTGAAAGAGGCCATCTCTGGCTGGGCTATATTTTCTTTTTAGACCTTGAATTGGTGTGAAGAGTCATAGGGTTTGCTAAAGGAGGAGTGAGAAAGTGGGGAGGATGTGAGCTCCATAATCAGGAATAAAAACAGAGGGTACAAGACCAGAGCAGAAAAGCTTTATAAAATCCCAGAACTTCTGACACATCTTCATACTGGTTATCATTCGTTATCTCCTTCTTATTTTCCTTGGAAGTAGAAGGGCCTGACTACATATATTCTTGTCTCCCCAAGCAGCAAGGAAGTGGCAAGTTGAGAAAGCTATTTCCCCTCCACACTTTTTCAGGCATATTAAGAGTAAGAGAAACCCCAAAGGTATAGTGGCTGGCTAGGTAATCAAAGAGAAAAAAGTAAGTCCTATTTCTTTAGCTCTGCAGCAAAGAAAGAAAGAACTTTGACATCAATCTTCATATGAAGAAAAGGTCATTAAGCTCAGTAGATTAAAAATCTGAAATGATTCTCTAACTGTATCAAGCATCAGAATCACCTGGAGGGCTTTATAAAACACAGATTGTTAATCCCTACTTCAAGAGTCTATGATTTAGTGGGTCTGAATAGAGCCTGTGAACCAAAAATTGGCTGAGGCAGATCTCAATCGAGTTAGAGGTTTGTTTTGCCAAGGTTGAGGATATGGCCAGGGAAAAAGAAACACAAGTTACAGTAGAATCTGTGGCCTGTATTTTTACCAAAGAGA